GCCTTGCCAGCCCGCTCAGGCTGCGCCGACGCGCCGACCCCAAGGCTCTGTACCCGAGCCTGCCCTCGGGCAACTACCTCGACACGTCCCTCTGGCCGGCGGGCAACTTCACCACCGAGACATTCCAGTCGTTTGCGCCCTACGCCTCGGCCGCTGCCGGTGCGGCGGCGGCGGGCTACACCAAGGCCTACACGGGCCTGCGGAGCATGCGCGGCGACATGCCGGGAGTGCTGCGGATCAGCACCTACGCCACCTACGACGCGGCCGCCCTGGGCGCAAAGTGCGACGCCATGGCCAACTGCGCCGGCTTTGGCATCTGGTACGAGCGCACGCCCAGCGTGGCGCCTACGCCCGCCAACCCCAACCCGCAGCCGGCGGTGTGGGTCAAGGTGCTCTTCTACGCCTACCCGCTCTCGCCCGCCGAGGCGACCAACGACGGCCAGTGGTCGCAGAGGTTTTGGCGCTCGCACGCCGGCGTGGCCTTTTTCAACCGCGACCGACTCGCCCTCAAGAGCGTGCCCGGCTTCAGTGGGCCGACGATCCTCGCGGGCAAGATCGACGTGGGCGACGCCGAGACGGCCGACAACGGCGGCGTGTCGCCGCTCATGGTGACGGGCGATCCGATCAACGGCATCCCGGACCCGACGGTGTGCAAGACGCTGTGCGAGGGGTATACGGCCAGCTCCGACTACGTTGCCGACGTCAAGTCCAGCTGCAACATGTTCAACATCTTTCTGCTGGCCACCAACGGCCAGGCCACGGGCTACCAGTGCCAGTACTACTCTCGCAGCTACGGCGCCGACAAGGCGACCTATACGGGCGGCACCGACTCCAGGGGGCGCAAGGTGAGCATCATCGGCAGCTGGTCGTACGCCGCCGACCCGCAGCTGGTGCCCTACGTGCGCAAGGAGACACCACCGCCACCGCCGCCGACGCCGCCCGCGGCCACGGAGCTGCGCGACTGCGGGCGCAAGCGCATCGACAAGACGGCCGGGCCGTGCGCCCAGACCCAGGACTGGGCCGTCGACTTTAGCGACGACGACGATACGACGGGCTACATGGAAAAGTGGGAGTACGACCCCAGGCCCCATCCGACCGGAGGTGAGTACGAGGCGGCCGACGGCTGGCGCGGATCCTCGCGAAGGGGCGCGCTGACCGGCTGGCCGGCTGACCGGCCTCGCCTGCTCTGCTCCTTTTCCCACTGCTCCCCTTGTGTCCATCCCCACTGCGCTACGCTATGCTACCCTGCGTCGTCGCGCACTGCGCCGCAGCATGGGAGGCGGGCACGTTCAACGGCTGGATCACGATCAACGGCCCTGCGTTTGGCGGGTGCGAGCAGGTGGCGGGCACGTTTGACGCGGGCATCGACCGATCCTACCCGCCGCCACCGCTCGACGGCGCGCCGCACGTCCTATCGTGCCGGGCGGGCACCTACCTCTTGTCGGCGGGAAGCTACAGCTACCGCCCCGTGGGCTTCAGCGCCGACCTTCTCTCCGCCGACTTCCTGCAGGACGGCCGCATCCGCGCCTGGACCCACGACGGCGACGTGTCCGTCTTTGACGTCCGCCGCGGCCGCGATGTCGCCTTCCCGTCGGACTGGCGCCGCGTCTATGGCTTCCAGCTGCTCACCGATATGACTTTTACCAACTTCAAGAACCGGAGGTATTTCAACGACTGGTCTGCAGAGTAGCTAGCGAGCTACGGTGGCTAGCTGGGTGGGCCGTTGTGGCAGGGGAGGAGAGAGTGGGAGCGGGAGCGGGGAGGATGGTGGTGGATGAGGGCGAGGGCCGGGATGAGGCACGTCGAGAGCCAAGCGGACGGCGGCGGCGAGTTGAATCCGAAAGCGGCAGTGGCCGCCCATTTCTTTCTTCTTGCGAATTGACGGATTCCTCAATGCCAAGTGAAGCCGGATTCTATGTGCATTTCCCCTGACTTGTTCGATTTGGTGGCGCCCGGGCTGACTAGCTGGCCGGCTGGGATCCTGGACCCCTTCTTCGGGCTGGCTGTCCGCATCTGGGCATCCATTTCCCGACCTGCCATTCTTCTGAGCTCGCTGGCGGCTCGACGCACCGCACGAGCCAAGCCAACCGACGTTCCGCGCCGCGCCTTGCCTTTCTGTTTCTTCCGCTCCTCTTCCTCTCTCCCAGCTGTCCTAGCCTGCCCTTTGTCCACGACGTCGGCTCTAGCTTTCCCCTTCCTCTTCGTTTTCTTCCAAGCCCTATCTGTCGCTCGTTTTCCTGTCGACCTCCCAGCGCCCTCCCGGCGACGACGACGACGACCACCACCACCACAACCACTGCCGCTTTGCTCAATCTCATCCACATTCAGACTTTGCCCCCACTCCCTCAACGCAACGCCCTTGCAACCCTAGCCTGGAGCCGGTCTCTGTTCCCATCTCTGTCACTCCTCCCCCTCCTCGCCGCCCGCCATGCTGTCCGCTTTGCAGGCCCACATCTCGACGCTCCAGCAGGCGCTCGACACGCCCTCGATCCCGTGGAAGCCCCTCACCCTCTACCTCCTCTGGGGCGTCTACCTCTTCGAGACCTACCTCTCCCTGCGCCAGTACCGCCTCTACAGCCGCACCACGCCGCCCGCCGCGCTTGCGCAGCACGTCGACCTCGACACCTTCCGCAAGTCGCAGGCGTACGGCAGGGACAAGGCGCGCTTCGGCTTCCTCTCGGGCGCCATCAGCCAGCTCATCAGCGTCGCCATCGTCCACTACGACATCTACGCCGCCGCCTGGTCCACGGCGGGCCAGTGGCTCCGCGTCGCCGGCCTGCCCGACCGCGAGATCCCGCGCAGCATCGTCTGGATGGTCGTCATGTTCATCCTCCGCGAGATCCCCGCCATCCCCCTCACCCTCTACCGCAACTTTGTCATCGAGGAGCGCCACGGATTCAACAAGATGACGCTCGCCACCTTTGTCTCGGACACGCTCAAGGAGTGGATGCTCGGCTTCGTCATCGGCGCGCCCCTCATGGCCGGCCTGCTGTGGATCATCCGCTGGTCGGGCGACGCCTTTGTCACCTACGTCGTCGCGTTCCTGTTTAGCTTCCAGATCGTCGCCATGGTCCTCTACCCGACCCTGATCCAGCCGCTGTTCAACAAGCTCACCCCGCTCCCCGAGGGCATGCTGCGCGACCGCGTCGTCGCCCTCGCCACGGCGCTCCGCTTCCCGCTCAAGCACCTCTACCAGATCGACGGCAGCAAGCGCTCCTCGCACTCCAACGCCTACTTTTTCGGCGTCGTGCCCGGCGGCAACAAGCACATTGTCATCTTCGACACCCTCATCGAGAAGTCGACGCCCGACGAGATCGAGGCGGTGCTCGCCCACGAGCTCGGCCACTGGGCCCACAGCGACCCCACCAAGCTCCTCGTCCTCGGACAGGCCCAGATCATTCTCACCATGTCGCTCTTCACCCTGTTCATCAACAACGTCTCGCTCTTCCGCGCCTTTGGCTTCGACGTCGCGCCAACCGCCGCTGCCGGCGGCCTCCTCTCGAAGCTCGCGCCGTCGTCGGCGTCGGCGTCGATGTCGTACCTGCCCATCGTCATCGGCCTCGAGCTGTTCCAGCTGATTCTCAACCCGAGCGACGCGCTCCTCAAGTTTGGCATGAACTCGGCCATCCGCCGCATGGAGTACGCCGCCGACGCCTTCGCCGCCGGCCTGACCCGCCCCGGGCCCACCGAGGCCGAGCAGCGGGCAGCGCAAAAGTGGCAGGACGACAACGGCGGCCAAAAGGCCGAGCGCGAGGGCGAGCGCGACGAGTACACGGCGCTCCTCAAGCGCGCCCTCGTCAAGCTCCACGTCAACAAGTGGGTATCTCGATGGTGGCGAACAAGCTCGAGGTCGAGCTCGCTCTCATCGACTCGGGGTGAACCATGCATCCGTGGCTGACCGTCCCTCCCCTTATCCCCCGCTCGTTGCACGCTCTCTTTTCCCGGCCGCCGTCCTTGCCCTCGTCGCGTGCGCAGCCTGTCGTCGTTCCACCACGACCCCATCTTTTCGGCGTACCATTACTCGCACCCTACGCTGGGCGAGCGTCTTTCCGCGCTCGAGGCAATCGAGGCCAAGAAGCAGTAGCACCGGCGGCAGCAAAGAGTACGTATCACCGGTAGCGATGTGACGCGCGCATCCCGGGCAGCTTCGCTCGCCTTAGGAGATGCAGAGTCGGGGGACCCCCTGCCTCTGGGGCCATTGTCGTCGCTGCGCCACTTTGCCACCCACAGACAATACGATATCGAGGCATTGTCCTTGCAAGATGGCCGATGGGATGGACGATTCGATTGGATCGAGTTGAGGTGGGGGGGGGGGGCAATGCGCGCCGTGCGGCTACCATCCTCGAGCGATAGCGTAGCGTCGCCCCGCCGCGAGCCGGGGAGCGTGTGTGTGGGCGCGACAATGCCTCGCTGGCCGCTCCGGTCCCGACACGACGCTGGCGGTCCGTGCTGAGTCGCCGCCGCCGTCGCCGTCGCCGTCGCCGCCCGCGGTGGTTACAGTAGATCTCGTCCGGGGGTGCCGCAGATCTCGGCACGCTGGCAGGTCAGGCTGGGGTGGGTCGGCGTAATACATAGCATGTACAGTACTAGTACATCGACAGCCGCGGCGGCGGGACTCCCTTGCCTTGCGTGCCTGGCTGGCTGGCTGTTGTCGCGCCGCGCCGAAATGCAAACGGGCCGGCGGGTGTCGCCATCCCTCTCCTCTCCCACCTCCCCTCCTCTCGATTCTCGGGGCTGACAGACGACGCCGCTGCGGGCGTACGTGCACGCCCTTCCGACGCCGCTGCTACAACTGCTGCTGCTGCTCAATCTCGTCGACCGGCGCGGGTGTACATATGTAGGTGCGCTGGCTGTCCGTCCCGTCCGGCCCCGTCCCGTCCGGCCCCGTCCCGCCACGGCCACGGTGCGAATTGGGCTCCCCTTCCGCAATTGAGCGGGCGCGCGGGCGAACTGGTGGGGCCAGGTCCGCAGTCGGGGCGTGGTCGTGACCCTCATTTCGTACCGCCCTCTACCAGCCTAGCCGAGGCCTGGACTGGCCAGGGTGGGTGGGTGGGTCGGACGTTCACCACGGCCTAGCCTAGCCTAGCCTAGCCTGGCCTAGCCTGGCCTAGCCTGGCCCACCCTGGCCTCTGCTACCAAACAAGCCGCGCCGCTTTGCGCAACAAGGCAGGGCTAGGGCGAGGAAACCAGCAACGAGACAATACACGAGGCTGGCCGATGGCTGAGGGCTGACGGCTGACCCTCATTGCCGCCCTGCTCTGCTCTGTCCCCGCCCACATCCGCACCCGCTGTGGCACCTACCTCCTTTTGGCCTGATTGCGCCCGCCTGACTATAAAGGCCAGCACAGAGAGACGGCGCCCAAGGGGGGGACCAAGGCGGGCGTGGTTGGCCAACTGAAGCCCATCGTTTGCCTCCCTCCCCACCACCACCAGCAGCAGCAGCAGCACCGCCACCACCGCCGCAAGTCGTCTCGGGGACGGCCCATTCCCTAGCCTCGAACTCAGGCTGGATCAGACACGCCCAACGTACGCCGTCTGTTGTCGTCTTCTGCCTCTAGCTCTGACAGCGAACCGACCCGCCGGCTAGCCCATCCCACCCGGTGTCTGGACCCCCCACCCATCGTCGCCACACCCCCTCCCCGCCTCCCTTCTCTTGCTTGATCTTGTTCCTACCCACCGCCGCTTGCTTTGCGGCCACCACCACCAACCACCCCTCCCCACCGTCGCCACCACCTGCGTCGCCACCACCTGCGTCGCCACCACCTGCGTCGCCACCACCTGCGTCGCCACCACCTGCGTCGCCACCCGAATCCGCACCTCGCACCTACGTCGTCAGAACCAATCTCGCCGCCCACACAAGCTTCCCGTACCACCTTGAGCCTGACCTACTGCCTACCGCACCGCTCCCTCCCCTCTTGATCCACAGCCGGCCTCGTTCGCACATCAGCCCTTGCCGGCGCAACGTGGCCGACAGGCGGACGGTCAGGCAGGCAGGCAGGCAGGCAGCAAGGATGCCGCGGCCAAAGAGGATCGACAGCTTCTACGCCGACGCCGGCCCCAGCGGCGCACTGGGACTGCAGGGCATCCTGGCGATGCCCATCGACGGCCATGACGATGAGGACCAAGCCATGATGCCCTTTGGGACCGCACCGGGCGATGCTATGGCGGCGCGGCGGCACCACTGCCCCGAACCAGGCTGCCACGCCGCGTTCGTCAAGCGGGCCCATTTGCGTCGCCACCAGGTGACGCACACGACCCGCCGCGACTATGCCTGCCGCGTCTGCGGCGCCCTCTTTTCCCGCATCGACTCGCTCCAGCGCCACAGCAAACGCAAACACCCGCACTGGAACCCCACCGAAGCGAACAGCCTCGTCCACACCGTGCCCAGCGACGCCATCGACGGCCATCCCGTTGCTTCTGCTTCTGCTTCTGCTGCTGCTGCGGTTGGCGGTTCAGGGACGGCGATGCGGCCAGAGGGCGCCCACAGCGGAGCAGAGGGCATCCACGCTCGAGCGGGAAGCGAGTCGTCGCCGGGCTCAAGCAGTCAGTGGCTCACCACGCCCTCGACGCCGTCGACGTCGACCATCCTGTGGCACCAGCCCGACCAGCCCGACCACCCCGACTTGTCGCCTCTCTCCCGACCCTCGCCGGCCCTCTCTGCCAACGGCGCCAACGAGCATCGCCAGTCGGCGGCCATCGACGCCTGGCAGGCTTCCATCGAGCTTGGCAAGCGGCCGCAGCAGCAGCACCAGGAGCCGCACTACCAGCAACGACAGCAGAGACACCACCACCACCACCCACAGCAGCAACAGCAGCACCACCAACAGCAGCATCAGCAACGGCCGCAAATTGTTCCATCAGCGGGCCACGGCTCTCCGTCATACGCCTCGCAGCATCGTCAGCTGCCCCAGGTGCCACCTTGGTCCTCACCCCAGCGTGCCAGCGAGCCGGACCGCGCTCCCTCGCCGCAGACCTTGTACGCTGCAGCGTTCTCGCAGGTGAGCCTGCCGTGGCGAGTGACGTGCTGCCGTCCAGACCTGAAGCTCATGACTGACTGCATCCTTCGCTCTGCCTGCCTTCCTGCCTGTTTGTCTGTCTGCTGCCCCTTAGCCGCACACCCGGACCTCGACCCACCCGTCAAGTCATGGTCGCCCCACGCAGCGGATGCACCCGGCTGGGCTGGGTCGGGGAAGGCAGCAGCCCTACCCGACCGCAAACAGCGCGCAGAGGCGTGGAAGGTCCAGGGACGCAGATCTGCAGGCGCACCGGCCCGTCAAAGCTGCCATCGACATCGATCGGCCAGCGGAGGGCACCCTCTTGCGACCGGGTCAGTTTGACCACTACCACCACCACCACCACTACCGCGAGCAGGGCGATACTTCCAGCTCCCACGGCGGTCCACGCATCGGCTATGCAGTCATGGCTCCGCCTCCTCCCTCAACGGCGCCTCGTCCGGCGCAGCAGCCACAGACTCAGTTCCAGACTTTGTTGTCGTTGTCGTCGTCATCACCGCCACCGTCGCCTTCTCCGCCATCGAATCCAGCGTCTCAGGGACGCACGCACTTCTCTTCCGCCGCGACAGAACTCGATCGAATCCTGCTTCCAGACATCATCGATGGGAGGATGCCGGTGCAGCAGCAGCAGCAGCACCCCCACCACCAGCAACACCAGTTACACCACCATCACCAGCAGCAGCAGCAGCAGCAGCAGCAGCAGCAGCAGCATCACCACCACCACGACCAGCAGCAGGACCAGCAGCGCCAGCACCAGCTGCACCAGCAGCAGCAGACACAACAGCAACATCAGCTGCCCAACCACGGCAGCAATCATCTCCACGTCTTCGACATCCGACATCTCGCCTCTTCGTCTTCGTCCTTGTCGATCCCGGACCACCACGTCAACGCTCTACCGCAAGGCTTGCTCCCTCACGAGCACCACGACGTCGCCGCCGCCATTGACGCTTCCAGCCTGAGCATGCTGACCGAGAGCAACAGCGCGGTGGTCGAGACCATGGTGCCGCAGGCCGGCCAGGCTGGCCAGGCGCAGGATCTGCCCGTCGACTACTTTGGCGTAGATCCGGACCAGTACGACCTGTCTAACTCCTCGTGCCTCGCTGGCCCACAGGATGTGCACGCCATGCTGGCCAGCCTGAGCATCCCTGGATTCGGCGACTTGCCCGTTGCGCCAATCGATCCGGGCGCCCAGAACCACATCGCCGCCGTGTCTGCTTCAATGCCGCAGTCGCGGAGGGCGTCGATGTTCCTGTGGCACGAAGAGACCTCGCTCCCCGCCTCAATTCCCGCCTCGACCTCTTTTTCGACTTCGAACTCAACCTCGATCTCGACCTCAACCTCGGACCCGCGAGCGGCAGCGACAGTCGCAGCGATGGCACCCGTAGCTTCGGCGTCAACGACGTCGTTCAATAGGGTTGCCTCGATCGACTCGCAGAGTCTCGGCTCGCTGACTTCGTCGCAGGCGGCGTTCCTGGCGCCGGATCCTTGGAACGCCTCTCTCAACAGGTTTGCGCCAAGTCAGACCGAGAGCATCCACATGCAGGGGCAGCCGATGTCACAGGGCGATGCGGAAATGGCCAGCTCGAGCCAGGCCAGCCTCGGCATGCAGGCGCATGCGGCCGTGGGCCACGCTGCGCCGTCGTCGCCATCGCCGCCGTCATCGCCGCGCTTGCGTGCCGATTTTGGCGCTCCGCAGACCGCAGGAACTGACGAAGATGTCGACATGGACCAGTGCCCGCAGTCGTCGCTCGATTCCCTTCGCGGCACGGCCGAGGACCGTGGTACAGACAGCACTAGAGGTCAAGCCCGGGTCCAGCCGGCAAGCAATGGAAGCACGAGCCCCTACTGGCCCGTGAGAGCTGCTGCGGACCAGACTGAGGAACGTTTCAGTTGGCACGCGGACGACGCTCGCGAGGACTTGGGTGACGATGCTTCACGGCAGCAGCCCAGAGACGCGTATCGGCACGAAGAGACAACGGCATCCTCGACCCGTCGAGCCTCGGCTGCGTCGACGGTCAAGCAGCTCGGTGAGTGCGAGGTTCCGGGCGCGGCACGCTCGCGCGAAAGCTTCCGGTGACGGCCCCCGTTGACGCCGATCTTACTCCATAACCCGTAACGACGAACGACGATGACGATGACGATGACCGTGATTCCGACCCGGCCAGAGCCACGGCCCCTCGAGGAGTACGCGGCCAACAGCGCTTCATCAGGCTCTAGCGGATCGCAGATCGAGGCAGAGCACGACCAGCAGCAGCATCAGCAGCAGCAGCATCAGCAGCAGCAGCAGCAGCAGCCACCGTTCCGTCACCACCAACCGCTTCGCCGGCCTGGTCATCCGACGCTGTCGCAGAAGCGGGAAAGGAGCGAGTCAGCGGGCGCTGCAGACCCGTCGCAGGAGCCGACAGCCAGGTCGTCCTCGCGCAGGGCTTCGGACGGCAGCGGCGGCGGCGGTACCGGCAGCAGCAGCAGCAGCAACAGCGCTGCCCACGACGGGGGGTTCTACAAGGCCGACCAGGCGCAGGACACGGTCGAGAGCCTGGGCGTGCGCTTCGAACGCTACGTCTCGCTGTACCGCAAGCCGTTCTCAGTGTGTCCGGAGGTGTTTGACGCCATCGCGCCGGCGCAGGCGCTCTTTTGCCGCCACGACCTGCCCATCTACCACCCAAAGATGGTGTCGCTGATCCGGGTGCACAGCAGTGACGAGGCGCTGCTCGTCATGGCCATCGGGTCGCTGGCGGCCGTCGACCCGGACGTCGCGGAGCTCGGCATACGCATGGCGCAGCTCGTCTCGCTCATGACGCAGCTTTCGATCCGCGTCCGGGAGCGGTCCGACGAGGTGCTGGCGAGCTTCTACAAGACGCTGTTCCTCTCTGTCCTCTTCCGCATACGCTGCACCCAGACGCGCCGGCCGTGGCAGGACGTCGAGTCGCTGCGGGCCCTCCTGGCCGAGGGTGTCGTCGAGCGTCGCGGCTGGCGCACGCTCGAGCACCGGCACGACGCGCTCGACGGCCAGCAGCTGTGCGGCCTTTCGCCCGTCGACCTCTTCCGCGCCATGTACGAGTGGTACCTCAACGAGCACCTCAAGCGATTCCTCATCGCCATCGCCATCCTCGACTCGCAGCTCTGCGCCTACTTTTCGCCCCTCGACCCGCCCATGAAGACCAGGCCGTCGGGCCCCTCGTGTCAGCACCTGCTCGCCTCGGTCACCGAGCCTTGCCCGACGGCCACGTTTGTCGCATGGCCGCCTCAGGCTTGGGCGGAAAAGGTGCGGGACACCAACGCCGTCCCCTCGCGCTCCGCCTCGGGCTTCATGGGCACGGCCGGCGGCGCCGGCGGCGCTGCTGGCGCTGCCTCGGATCGCAAGAGGCGGCCGGTCGTGCTGGCCGAGATCCTCGAGGAGAAGCTGCTTCGACCGCACCGCACGCTGGCGAGCCTGGTCCGCGCCGCATCTCCGCGTGCCACGTTGGCGAGGAGGCCCACCAACCCTATCACGCCCACGCCGCTCCGGGTGGCGTTTGATCGCTTCCACTTTGGACCGCATGAAAGTCGCAGAGCCTCGATTGCTGTGCCGCCGTTCGCCGACCGCAGGAACGACTGGCGCAGGCGGTCGACTCACTTTGGCCTGCCACCCGAGATGCAGCAGCCCGTCAGCCTCGACGTTGGCGGCACGGATGGCGCCGAGGGACCGGCCGCCCCGAGCAGGAGCAGGGGAGGGGCGGTGCGCAGCGACAGCTCCGAGGCCGACTCATCGGCGGGTGGAGAGCCAGCACGGCCTCCTCGCTCTGCAAAGGCCGCGAGCGGGAAGCCGGTCCGCGTGCTGTCAGTATACCTCATCAGCGCGATGCTCGAGGCGATCCATGCGGCCTGGATGGCGGACAGCGCCTACTATCCGTCCGCCAACTGGGGTCTGGCCTGCAGGCACGATTCCAGCGACGACGACGACGACGACGGCGGCGGCGGCGGCGACGGCCCCGCGGGTTTTGGCAGCCGAAGCGACGGCGCAACCACAAAGCCACGAGGCTGCGAGGCGGACGCCTACACCCGCCTGCCCGGCTGGCGACATGGCAAGAGGCTCACGAGGCTCCGGGTGGCGCATGCGCTCATGAACTGGCAGGCCAGCTTCAGCAGCGCCACGCCCGCCCAGCTGCGCTTCTTTACGGGAGCGTCGGCATCGCTGCCGCCGTCGTCGCTCCGCCTGGTGACGGACGACGTCGTGTTCCTCGTGATCCGCTGGAAGACGATCCTCGTCGGGCTCTGCGCGCCGCTCGAGTCGATCTGCTTCTACCTGTCGTCCCTATCACTGCGGCTGCCCCACGGCGAGGGAGAGAGCGACGGCGCTGCTGGCGATGCTTCCAGACCCAAACGCCAGCGGCGAGCGGCCAAAGTGGCCAGCTCGCTGCACCAGTGGGCTCACTCGGCGTCGGCGCGGCGGGCGCTGGTGCACAGCGGCCTCATCTTGCAGATCTACGACGACCACTTTGCCCAGCTCCAGAGCCAGGTTCCGCCGGCGAGCAAGTCGCGGTACCCGATCCCGCCCTCGATGGCGCACGGCATCTACACGGCGCTTTCGGTGGTCGTCGCCGTGTTCCGGCTGCTGAACGACGAGACGCTCATCGCGGGCTGTCGGCAGTGCGAGGCGATGGCGCAGCTCTTCCAACCGGGAGTGGGCGACCAGGTGCAGAGCTACGACATCGGCCGCACCCCCTTTGAGCAGGACAGGCGGATCCCGGACCAGCAGCTGAGGCTGCACAGCTGGTTCTGGCAGCTGATCTGGGACGGGGTCGGGTCCGCCGGCTTCCACGAGGAAGACGGAGGGCGGGGTGGCAAGGAGGCAGCCGCCGACGGGTTTGGCGACTGGGCTGGCGATGACGACGGGCGGCATCCTCGGCCATTCTCGGTTCACGGGCAGGATCGAAAGCGAGAGCCGTCGCCAGACCGCCCATCGCAAGGCCACCAGGTGTGGGCCGGCCCATGGCCGCCAGCGGTTCCACGAGGCGGCGCGGTCGATGCCGATGCGGCGCCAAAGGGCCCAGCGGCGTCGGCGTCGGCTTCGCGTGGGAAAGCGAGCGAACGGCGTGGGACGATCCACTTTGGCGGACCGCTGCTGCCTCCGCCGACGCCGGCGGGCAGAGACGCCGCCGTGGACGGCAGGCGGGCGACGGCCGCCCACCTCTTGCGCCATCGCCCGAGCCTGGCAGCCGGCGGCGGCAGTGGCGGCGGCATCGGCACCGGCACCGGCACCGGCATCGATCGCAGCGCCAGCCCAACTTCGCCGCGGTACGACCCCTTTGGCTCACGAACGCCGCTGTCGACGTCGAGGCGCAGCTCGCTCGTCCCGGAAGCCGCCCTGGCTCGATCGCGCTTGTTGATCTCACCCCCGGGAAACAAAGGGATCGCCACCACCACATCTGGCGGCGGGAGCAGCGGTGCTGTGGCATCGCCTCCAATCTCGCTTCCCCCTCTTCGCCAGCCGCCGTCGGCGCCGACACTGCCATCGCTGAGGCTTTCGAGCGCGCACGACGACGCTTCCACCTCGTGGACACCAGTGGCCATGGATGTCGATGTGGATCTCGAGGCCCATGCTGCTACCCCCTCTCCACCGTCTTCAGGCTCCAAGGCAGCGAAGGCGGCGACGACGACCGAGCAGCAGCACGTTCCGTCACCGTCGGGGAGCAGCCAGGCAAGCTGCTCGGCTTCGGGCTCGGCCTCGGCCTCGACCCTGTCACGCTCGCCCTCGGCCTCTACGTCGTCTTCCTCGACGTCGTCGTCGTCGGCGAGCCCGGGCAACGGCGACGACTCCATCTTTGTGCAGGCCACCAAGCGGCTGCGCGCGTGGATCTTCGATGGCCCGACCGAGGCGACGCTCTTTGAGTCGGGGCCCCTCTCGTTTCGACGCATGCCCCATCGCGTCGGTGGTGGTGGTGGTGGTGGTGGTGGTGGTGTCTCGGCGTCGTCATCGTCGTCAGTCGATGGCGAGGGCGACGACGAGATGCGGACGACGAGAGATCGTCTGCGCGCCAAGGTGGATGCGATGCGCGCCGCCCGGCCCCTGTTTCATTTCAGCGACGAGTACATCGAGATGCTCGACGCCGCCCTCGCTGTTGCTGGCGAGTGAGAAGGCGTGGGCGTCGTCGTTTGCCGGCGAAAAAAAATCCTCTGCTCGTGGTGCCGTTCCGTCCTGCGCCGTCCCTTCTTGTCTGTACTCCGAACCCCTCCCAAACGTCACCCTATCGCCCATCGCCTCATCTTGCCCGCCGCATCGCCTCGTCATATCGCCACCTCACTTCGCCTCTGCCAAACAAGGCCAGGCCAGGCCAGGCCAGGCCAAGGCAAGCCAGACCAGGCGGGGGGTGGGAAAGCTAGAGGCGAAAGACGCCAACGGCCTGCTGGATGCCGTCGTACACGACGGTATTGTCGGCGGGGACGTACTGGCGCGTGATGAGCTTGATGGTCTCCTGCGCCACGATGCCGCCCAGCAGCGCCGTCGTGGCCGGTAGGCTGGCGTGGCCGGACCGTACCCTGTTTGCACCCCCGGCACCAGCGGATTGATAGGGGAAAAGGGAAAGAGGGAAGGTGAGCGGCCGCAGCGGGTTGCGTCCGGAGCGGAGCGGAACGGACCACAGGAGATCGCAGGGGCCCACGCTCGACTCACAGTTCAGCAACAGCATCGCGGATCTTGTCCCAGCTCTCCTCGTCGTCCTTCAAGGACGGGGCGTGTCGATGCGTCCACTCCGCAGCGAGGGCGAGGAGCGCCTCTGTATCCCCCTCCACATCGACGTCCCCTTCCGCATCCGCATCGACCTGGCCGCCCCGTCTCCTCATGGTCGTTTGGGACGACGACGACGAAGAGGAATCATCCACGACCATATCCACCTCCTCCCCCGCACCGCCGATGCCGTCGCGGGTAGGCGTCTCGGACTTGTGTCTCTTTGCCGAGCGTGTCGTTTCGTCCCCCTCGCTCGGGACGGATGCCGCTCCCTCCTTGTTCGTCGTCGTCGTCGTCGTCGTCGTCGTCGTCGTCGTCGTCGTCGTCGTCGTCGTCGTCGTCGTCGTCGTCGTCGTCGTCGAGGCGACTCCCTCGCCAGTGCCAGCACCGCCGCCAGGTTCGCCGCCACCGCTGATGGTCCGGGAAAAGGCCAGCGTGGATCCCGGGTACCGCCCGTGTTTTTCGAAAAAGGCGTCCGACGCCGACAACGCCACGTGGTGCTGGAACGTGCTTGGGTTGACGGGGTCCATGAACGCCATGGCTGCCGGGTCGTACCACAGTCATCAAGGACGAGCGAGAGGAATAGAGGCGGTGTAAAAGAGAGCGAGGGTGTCAGAGGATGGAAAGCGGAGGACCGACCCGACAATGTGCACCAGGCACCGACCGACTCACCAGCCACGCTACCATCGGGCGCCTCGTAGCGCTGCCTCTCGCTGCGGCCGCGGATGAGTTTGAGGTAGCCGGCGTGCTTGACAAACGCCAGCACCTCGTCGCCGCCCACGGCGCCCGCAGCGACGCCGGCGGCGGCAACGACGTCGTCGAGGATGCGCGTAAACTCGGCCAGGTCGGCGGCCGCCTTGGCGCGGTAGCACGCCTGCAGGCGCACGTAGATTTCGCTCGTCGCCTTCATGTCTGGCAGCGAGCCGCTGAGCGGCAAGCTGTGCGTGGGCGAGGCGGCGACGAAATCGCGCAGCGCGCGCACCAGCAGCCAGAAGTTGGTCGACTGGCGGCGGCAGGTGAACGAGGATGATGCGATCGGGTGGCGATGTCGACGACAGGTTGTGGGTGGGTCAGCTCAGCCGCGCTCCTCATCGCCGCCTATCTGCGTGCCATTCGGGCACGTTCGGGACCCCGACCCCCGGGCGACCGACGGACCTCCGTACCGGTTCGGGGTCCCCACGTTCCGACGGCACGTCGGCT